GGACAAGCTGCTGGGGGGCCAGATCGGCCTCGAGGATTTCATCTTCGCCCACATTAAAGGGATCAAGAAGGAAGTGGAAATTCATAAATCTGAAGATGCGCTCGGCCTCACCATCACCGACAATGGAGCGGGCTACGCTTTCATTAAGGTGAGGACAGAAGGAACATCTCACCCAGAGTAAATCAAAGAAAAGAACTTCTGTTGTGCTTGTTTTATTTTGCTCAGTTGATAAACCAACAATGATGTGTAGCAATATGTAAGTAGCTGCTCAGCTAAAGTTGTATGAGGTCAAAACAAGTAAGCACCATGGACATGCACTCACTCACTCACCTCAGCAGGAATCAAGATTCGTCAGACTTCAACTGTCCAGTTTTAGTCATTTCTGTTCTTTTCTGACAGGAATGAGACCCGACGTGGTCTCCTGCTGTTGTAGCTCATCCACCTTAAGCTTCGATGCTATGTGTGGTTCATTTTCTGCTCACCACAGCCGTAGAGAGCTGTTGTCTCAGTTACTTCTTCTCAGACCTCAATCATCTATAAGCTGCTCCTGACCTGTATCTGCTTGATTCTATGCACTGCTGCCACATAATTGACTGTTTATCAGCAATGCAACTCATTTTCTTCAGCGTGAATGAATCTGTTTATTATTTTATCATCAATCAATCATTTAAGTTAAAAAAAATATATATATATATCAAAAATAATGATAATTGCGCACCGTAGGTTAGCAAAGTAGAAAGTGGTATTGTCGTTTATTACATGGTTTCAGTGATGTGGCTGCAGCAGGACAAACTGCTCACATGTGCCATCATGTGATTCTGAGGCTGCACTGCATCCTGAAAACCTGACGGTGTTTATCACACAATAAAGCCTCAGGTCAGCGCTGTGGTGCTGGTGTATTAAGCTATGAAAAAGATGCTGCCTCTTTGAAGATAATGTCAAACAAGGCAATTAAATCAGCCAACTGTCGGATAATAAAACTTCTATAGATCTTCCCACAGTATGATTTAAACATTAACCACTTGTCGACTCTTAAACACATGAAACATCCAGTCTAATGCAGCTTCTCTGTCACACTCAGACTGTTTTACATCTTCTCTTTCACTACATTGTTGACCAGAGAGGATTATAGAGCAAAATGTAGGTCAGGACAGGAGACATTTACCAGGTTCTGCCTGTAGCTCAAGCTGAAAAGAAAAGAAAATGTATTGAATTGAACAAAACAAAACCAAAAAAAAAAACTCCCACACCCATGCAGTGCAGATGTTCCTGAGCTGCTGGAGCAGAAACATTTGCATCACAATTGTTTATTTCCTTTTTTTTTTAAAAAAAAAAGGCTTTTGAAGTCCCATACAAAAATAAAGCTTAGCTTAGCTTTCCATGGAAAGAAATTTAATAACGTATTATTTTGTGTTCTGCTGAGTCCAGTGGTTTCACATCAGTGGGCTCACAAACAAGAAAAAAAAAAAAAAAAAAATATATTGGCCTAATACACACACACACACACACACACACACACACACACACACACACACACACACACACACACACACTCTCTGTCTTTGCTCTCTTATTTTGATCTCTGTGTTTGTCTTGTGCTCCTTGGGGGGGGGGGGTTTACACTTGAGAGGTTCAAATCCAGCATACTGCACACCTCAAACAAACCTCTTTTTATATGGCACTAAAACTTTTTCTGTCTTTTTAATTATATTTGTGACTGATGTCTTCTTTTCCCGTTCGCCCCTCCTCATGGCAGCGTATCAAAGAGGGCAGCGTTGTGGACGGGGTGAAGGTGATCTGCGTGGGCGACCACATAGAGTGCATTAACGGACGTAACATCGTCGGGACACGGCATTATGAGGTCGCCCGCATGCTTAAAGACCTGCCCAGAGACAGACCTTTCACCCTCAAACTGGTGGAGCCGATGAAGGCCTTTGGTGAGTAAGAAACAAGATACAGAAAACGTGTAGGCGATACTGACACTGATTCAGAGACACCAGCATCAACACGTTTTTTTCATGAAAAAAAAAAAAAAAACAGACAGATAATAGTCACATTTGAGAAGCTGAAACCAGATAATGTTTGGAGTTTTTGCTTGAAAAATGACTTCAATCAATTAGTTGCTTCTCTAGTATATTGTCATATATTGGAACTCTAAACAATTCTTAACATGAACTGAAACCAAGAACTTGAGCGAGTGATCTTTAGGGATCACTGCGATGTCAGTTGAGCAACTGGACGGTCTGTAAATACCTGTTATGTTTCTCTTCTGACTGATAGAAATGCTTGAGCCCAGGTCAAAGGGTGCCAAACCTGCCAGCGACAACAAGATCGGCACAGGGAGGGGGACTCTGAGACTTCGCTCCAAGGGCCCAGCTACTGTGGAGGATGAGGTAAGTCTCTCCTGCTCATTTGGACATGGAACTGTTGACGTTATTGTGAAGCCCACTTAGAGGTTGTCTCTTTTTCTGCTCTTAATGTATCCTTAAAGAAGATACACACAGATAAGGCTAAACAAAGAAACAAACAAAGTACAATCAAAAGAGGAACTGAACCGAGTTGTTTGTGTTTTCCAGCCAACAGAATTTGAGGAGAAGGCGGTGAAGAAAGTGGACGACCTCCTGGAGAGCTACATGGGCATCAGAGACACCGAACTTGGTGAGTGATATTAACACCAGCAACACGAGTGCCACTGCAATGTCACTCTATGATTCAGCCCCAATCGGGAAAAACAAAACGTTGCTTTATCGTGCGAACCGTGTGGCTCTGCAGGACGCAGCAGTGGCCACTGCAGTCTGCAGAAATAAAGGATTTAAACTTTGGTTTTAACACGGGCAGACATTTCATCATTCAGGGCATCTGTGAGACCATGAATGTAACAGTGAAGAAAAGAATTAACCTGCTGCTAGATAACAGATAAAAAAAAACAATCCTGTGACTTCTTCTTCTTCTAAGGTTTTGCACAAGGAGAACTATGTGACCAAATAAGAGTAACATACAGTTTTTAGATGAACATCTTGAACCTCTGTTCAGCCCTTGCTTTTATTGTTAGCCAACGCAAAGACTGTTTTTATATGATCAGAATTCATAATTCCAGATGTAATAAAAAGCAAAGGACTCTGGATTTGAATGGCTTAAAGGGGCCATATCCTGGCTGTGTTGCATAAATAAAAGAAGGGAGTTTTTTGACATGCTTGATGTGTAGTCCACAAGTAAGCGAGGGGGGATCAAGGGACAGGAGGGATCAAGAACAATTTAAATTTTGGAAAAACACATGAAAACTGATCCACGTCTGGTGTGACCAACATCTAACAGTTCAGTCTTCTTGGTATTCAAATACAGGAAGTTGAATTTACGTTGTATCATGAATCTTTAGCTCCTCAGTTATTCCTGTAGTGAAGTGTCCGCTCGTCCCTCTCCTCTCCAGCTGCTACGATGGTCGAGGTCGGCCGTGACAAGAAGAACCCGGACGAATTCGCCATGGCGTTAGACGAGACCCTCGGAGACTTCGCTTTTCCGGATGAGTTTGTATTTGATGTCTGGGGTGCCATCGGAGACGCCAAGCAGGGAAGATTTTAAGTTTGCTCCTGCTCCCCCAAACACACACATCCACACACACACACACACACACACACACATCCCCACACACACACACACACACACACACACACACACACACACACACACACACACACACCCTCTCCATCCTCCCCCAAGCTCTTCTCAGAAGCCGACTGGACAAACTTCAACCAGTACAAACAGGGGTGGGTGAAGTGCTCCTTCCTCCCTTCACTTTGTTGTTAGGTGCAGCTTTGCACTCGGATGGAGAGTCTTTAAGTCAAGTTGAGTCAGGTGGGTCTACATAAGGAATTTCACATGTCAGGGTTTTGGTGTAATCTTGGAAAGATGTCCATGAAATGTGGAATGCAGTTTCCAACACTGGAACTGCCTCCTACATGTTGAAACTTTTGTACCCCACCTTGGAGGCAGGGTAGCTCTGAATGCATCTAAAGCTCATGATACTGTTCTTCTGTCAGAACAGATAAACTAGTCGACAGTGGTCTATTACACTGGTCATAAATGGTACGTGCACAACCTTAAATTTTAAAACAATCACTCAGTTCTAATCACACTTTATAGCTGTGTAATTTTGAGTATACAGACGTATAACACAGCTTTTTATAGGCTTTTTTTTATATGTGAAAATGCTGCTGATTTTACAGCAGCAGCATTGTGTAATTATAGTGATTGTAGCAATATTTCTCTCTCAAGCAACCTTTTTATTTCCCTCCCATCTTTTAAAATCTTTTACATGACCTCATGGTTTAAAAAAAAAAAAAAAAAAAAAAGTCAGAGCTTTGACCACGCTCACTCTGCTGTTTGTTTACTTTGTGATTTTCTTTTCTCTGTGCCCTTAAACATCTCAGCTTGAGCCTTGCGTCCATCTTCCAGAGACTGAGCAATACAGAGAAAAGAGGGTTTATCTTTTTAAATGCCTTTTATCCAAGTTTGACGACACATTCCACCAACATTCCTTATGTTTCTCTTGTAGTTAAAGTCTGTTAGCACTGATAACAAGTCACGAAATGAGGCAGATTTAGAGAGGCATGCTAATTTTATTTTTTCCCTGTAATTTATTTTATCATGAAAAATCATATGCTGCATGACATTTTATACGCCGAGACATGGCTCCACATGAAAGCCATTCTGGAGGCAGTGTCTGGAATGGGATCAATTGCAATCCAATGTCTTAACTGAATGCACTCGCATTAATGTAACTGCACTATTTAAATCACTGTCAAACTGAATTTAAATAGTGACTCCATTAGTGTCATCTACTGATGTTAACTGTTCACAGCAGTTGCATATTGTTTGACAAACCATAAGGGATCACTATTGTTCGATAGACAATAAAATTTGATATACTGTTATATTCACTGCTGTGTCATGAATGCATCTGGCTCACAATGATGTAACACACACACACACACACACACTACTCAATACAACAAACTTTATTTGCACACCTGGCTGTGTACATGTATAAAATACATTGAGACACTTAACCAATGTTTCCATCCCTCATTCAAAGAGTTTAACAAGGCTGGTTTTAAAAAAAAAACAAAAAAAAAACAGTGGTGTCACTTCACAAGCAGCAAAACAAACAGAACAGATATAAGCAGTCAGATATAGCTAAATAAGTAGAGATAAATTGTCAGGATTAAATGAATTATTATTATTTTAAAGAAAGTGGATTATAGAAATCAGAAGTAGAGAGCCTATCTATTAGTGCAGGGTGAATATAGTCGCAGAGTACTGAAGAGGATCTTTGGAAGCACATCACTGTAGGTGTTTATCTTTACTATTATGAATTACTGCATCATCGCTGTTGGGTGAAAACATTTAAAAAAAAGTCTACTGGTTCCACTGAAGGGATTTCATTTTCTACAATGTGTTTGTGAAACTTGTTCAGAACCAAACAGACTGAAACTTCATGGCTGTCGAGTGACAAACAAGGCATTTTACTTAGGTGGTAAAAACTTGGCATATTAAAGATGTGAAGTTTGCATCCAACAACAGATGAGAGTTAATAATTAACACTGCAGTTAACTTGGCTAGCTTGAGTTGTTTATATCCTCTACAGACGGACAATACAGTATATGGCATTTAAGTAACAGTACATTACAAATATACATGTTTTAAAACAAAGACAGTGGCGGGAGAATGACTGGTGATGTTGGAAAAACCGTACGAGACAAAAAGAAATACTCAAGCACCGATGCCTTCTCGTGATTGGCTTGGTTTGGTCAGTGAGGTGGACCCCACTGTCAAGTATGAGTATAAATAGTGAAAGGGGTTGTTGGCGGAGGGGTGGGGGGTATTACAGGGCGCTCTGAAGCTCAGGCTCAGGTAGAGGAAGTGTAGCCCTTACAGCCTGATGCCCAACGCCACCTCCTCACAGCTCATCTCCAGTGTGACCGTGCTTGAAGGCGTCGCCCGTCAGCTTCTCCTGCGCCTCCTTCATACCGGACAAAACTGAGGAGGAATGGAGGGAAACACACACACACACACACCATGATTATCACTATCATTATTTGGACAGTCACATTTTTGGCTCTTCAGGCTCTGAGGTGAGCAGAGGAAAACTAGGAGTTTGCAAACGAGCTGGTGGACAGGAGCTCAAGCCTTGAGAAAGAGCAGAAAATCATTTGCATGGTGAAGAAAACCCTCTTTACGACTGCACAGCAAGTTAAGAACGCTCTGCAGGATGTGGGCACACATGTTTCATGTTTCAAGAGCAGACTTCATGACCACAACCTCAGAGAATTGAGCACAAGGTGTAAAGCTCTGGTAAAGCTCAAGGCCAGGTTAAAGAGTGCTGGAACACAGTTCTCTATCAAAGTGATGCGGAAGAGGAAAGTGTGGAGAGAGAAAAAAAAAAAAAAATGAGCATCTCATGACCCAAAGTCACCACCTCATTAGTCAAACTCAGTGGACAACATCTAATCCTTCAGTAGGACAACAGTCCTAAACACAGGGAAACCAAAGAGCTTTTCAGGGTGAAGAGGTGGAATATCCTCGACCGGCCGTCAGTCATCTGATTTCAATCTGACTGAGCTGTGCTCCACTTGCTGAGGACCAGACTGAAGACCAGTGTCTGCAGTGAAAGGCTCAGAGAGCATCAACAAGGGAAGATACAACGTGTCTGCTGATGTTTATGGGTCCAAGACTTCAGGCAGTTACTGGCTGCACAGGATTTTTCCACTAAATATTAAATAATATGATTTAGTTTGACTTCATGCGTATCTGTCCAATTATTTTTGAACCTCTTTAACTCTGAGCACTCTGAGTTAACAGGACTCTGTTCATTTAAAGCTTCTGAAATTAAAGCTAAGACTTTGCACTTTAATGTAATACCTATTATTTTATTTCAAACTGAATGTTGCTGAAGCTCAGAGCCTGAAGAACAAAAAAAATGCAAAACTGTCCAAATACTTTCCGGTCTGGACTCAATCCACTGACCTCAAATGTGAGTTTTCTTTAATCCCAGCTATTATGTCAGAGAAGCCAGCAGCTGTAATCACATAACATTCGCCGCTGAATGTTTTCCCAGAGGTAAGTGAGAATTTTTTGGATTGTTACCTTGCTCTGCGTTGCTGTAGAAGTACTTGTAGTTTGGGTTCCCATTCTTGTTAGTGATTTCAGGATGGACTTTGCCGCTGGGATCTGTGCAGGGATTAAGAAGGGTCAAATAAAAGCCTGGTTTAGTTCAAATTAAAATCCAAATAACAAAGAGCTGAGACTAACCATTGCTTTCACTATGGATTAATTCATTGTTTGGCCCATAAAATAGAAGATTTATGGAAAAAACTGCCTTCATAATTCCTCGAAGACGTACTGTCCTGTCAGGGCAACAGTCCAAATTGCTGAGGGATTATTATTGAAGTATTTTTTGATTCATTTATTCATAATTTTGTCTGTAAAATGGTCAAATAAATGTAAAAGCAAAGCAGTTTCCCAGCATTCAAGGTGTCTTATTCCGTCAGTCCAACAATCCAAAACCCAAAGATATTCAATTTACATTTATATAAAACAGAGAAAAGCTGCACATATTTGCATCTGTGAGCCTGGAGCCAGTGAATCTTATTGATGAAACTTCAATAGCAAAAGCTTTTGAAGTTATCAATAAACTTATCAATATTTGTTATTAATCAGCTATTAGTTCAAAGGATTTGTCTTGTCAGCTCTAGTTTCACTTCATAAAAAACATGCAGAATAAAAACAAGTTTTACAGACTCACTTACACTGTAATGTGAATATTTCAGAATGTATAGGAGCAAGTTTAATATTAATATTCCACATTATGGAATAATACTCCTGTGATTAGTTCCTTTAATCTTTACACACTGTTTACTCTTTGTTTGTATTCAACGCCTCATACAGGTGATGTTTTAGGCCAGTTGGCTTTTCTTTCTTCTGTCAAACACCTGGAGGGATTTCAGACGTCATTGTTCCATTATTTTATCTCCTATTGAGCTTAGTGAAACGTTAACTGCATGTTATTCAGGTAAGACCAACTGTGCAATCAGTTTCTCCAGAGGAATCCTAACAAGTGTTTACATGGAGGATGACTCAACCCCCTCCGTACCAAGGAAAAGAATCCGAGGAATGTATCCGCCATCAGGGCTGAAGGCTTCATCCTTTGGCTCCTCCTCGTCCTGTAAGAGATAACTGGTCATGAACAGATCTCAAGCTGATAAACAGTATGTTAACATTGGCTACAAGCACAGTCAGAGCTCCTGCACTGTTCACCACATTAGAATTAAGACCTTTTTTATACCCCACACACACACACACACACACACACACACACACACACACACACACACACACTTCAGATAATAATGGGAAAAGTGGAGCTTCTTGGTAACTATGTATTGAGTGCCTTTATGACCATATGACGTGTGTGTGTGTGTGTGTGTGTGTGTGTGTGTGTGTGTCTGAGTCTGAATTCAGTGTTTGAATGTTTCAGTGTCTGACAGTGATAAAACACTGACAATAAAAAAATACTCTTGTGCAGGTCTGAGTTAAAAAAAAAAGCACAAAAAAGGCACCAAATGAAATACAGAATCACACAGAGACTAAAGAAGATAACCATATACGCCATACGTTAAAAAAAATATGTAACTCTGGTTGACTGACATGAGCATTTCCTTACCTCCAGGTTGATCATTACAAAGTTGTGTGCAAGTTCAGAGATTTCCTTGGACTCAGCAAATTTGGGCTTCAGTGCTGATGTAAAAAGACACAGCGCAATTATTAATTATCTTCTCATCTTTTACATCTAGGACAAATAATAGAGAATAACATCACAGTACAGTTCCCGCCCTGCGTCTTTAAAATGAAGCCTGCTCCAGAAAAAAACTCAAATCTCCTCAATTTCAGAATTAAGACATTTTAATGTGTAGAAAGAAGTTTCATTTTCAGATCTGCTTTTGCCACTTTGACTTAATCTAAAAACGCACAGATAAGAAAACTCAGGTCATCACAGTTCAACTAGAGCGCTGGACCTTTTTTTTTTTTTACTCTCTGGTGTCTCCCAATTGTCAGATGAGAAAAAACACAAGTCAGAGGTAGTGATCATGGAGACGGCTGACGCAGGGACTTGATCAACAAAAAAGTGATTCTGCAACTATTTTGATAATCAAATAATCGCTTTGGTCATTTTTCAAGCAAATAATGCAAATTATTTCCATCTTCTCAAATGTGAGGATTAACTGATTTACTTTGTCATATTTGACAATAGCTTTGTATGAGACTATTGGTCGTACAAAACCCCTGCAGACGTCACTTTGGGGTGTGTAATAACTGAGAAAACAACCAGCAGATTAGGATGAAAAATGTTTATTAAGGAGTCCAGTGTGATGTCTTCTAATGTTTTGTCCAACCAACGGTCTCAAACCCAAAGATATTCAGTTTACAATGTTCTCACAATGAAGACCTGCAACCTTAAAAATGAACCAACTGATGGTTAATGAATAACTCATTTCAGCTGTCTCTGTGTATGTGTTGTATCTTTTTGAGGAACAACTCTGCCCTTTGACCTGCTTTGATTTACATTAAATGAGAGTTTTATAAATGTGACGGCAGGTTTTCATGTCTGAATGAGCAGCCAACATATTTTCACACAGACGTCAAGTCTTCCTACGTCAGACTCAGTAAAGCCCTTTTTTAGATAGAACTGAACACTTCTGGCTTCATCTGTCTGTTAAAGTGATGGCTTTTTGTCATTCATACGAAAGTGTTCACTACACAGTTTCAATATGGCTTTATTTAGACAGGACAGATTTGTATTGTTTTTTTGAACCGACACACACTAGGGCACCTTGTCCTAAAAAAATCCTAACTTGAGTTTTGTTTTTTGTTTTTTTTATGGTTAAATGTTAAATTGTTTTACCTTTGCAGGCTCCACACCAGCTCTTGTGGATGATGACCATGATCGGCAGTCCGCTGTCAATGCAAACACATGAAAAAGTTTGTCACACTCGAACACTGAAAACCAATAACTCAGGCCTGCAAGTGTAGGAAATAAAAAATATACATGCATTAATGTATTATTAAACATTAAGTCACTTCTGGTCATTTTAGATGACGGGGATTTCTCTAAAAGCTGTTTCAGGCCTCGGGTCAGTGATTACACAAAAGGCTGTTGAGCAGAATTACAACAGTAAGTGTTGGTGATATTCCATCTCTCAGAGTGAACTCACCTGGCCTCAGCCTCTTTCTTGCCATCGTCCAGTGTCCTCCAGCTGATGTTATCTCCAAACCCTGCGGGGGAATGAATTAATGAGCACACCGGCATTGTGTAACTGATATTATATTTCTACAACAGGGTGGGTCTGCCCTAAATACAGCATCAGTAAAAAAAGAAGTGTCAGGAAACTATGGCAAATACAAATGAATAAGCGGTTATTCAATATCAAGCTGCAGGGCAATATCGACTTGGCTCTGTCACCTGTAACTACTTGACCAGCTCGTAGGTTTAAATGGTGGCAGCAGGACAAAGAATCAACACAGCAGTTAACTATACTGTGATGCGAGCGCTTGTTCAACTGAAGCAAAGAAGAATCTTTCATTTACTTCTTTCATGTTTTTTGGTGGTTCAGATTTTTTTTTGTTTCCCATTTGAATGATGTTATTATGATGATTGTAATTTAGGGCCATTTCCTGGTATGACCACTGTACATGTTACAGTATGTGAAACCTAGTATTGTATAAAAATGCACATAAATTAAGAAGCAGAATCAAATGTGCAAACATTTTTGAAAGAAATGTTCAGTAACTGTGATATACAGCACTACTTCCTGCAGTGCAGTATTGTCCTACTGATGCATCAGAGGGTGTAGTTACACAGTTTGTCCCAACACTGCCTTTGTACAGACAGAGCGTTTGTAATCATCAACGTTGTAGAGTTGGGGCACATGTGGGAATTGTTTGCATCAACTTTCAAGGCTTCATTTACTTCCACTGCTGCAGGAAAGCTGCACTTTAACCCATTTCCTTATCCCTGACACTCTTTCTACGAAATATAAACAAGTTTTCTGCTTACTTTCTGCCATTTAAGGTTATTCACTGCACTTGATCTGCTTCAATTTCAATTAAAACTTGTAAAATGGGGGTGTTCTAATAGTTTTGACCAGCAGTGTACATCTCAAAGAGTAAACGTACAGAGGCAATACACCAAACAATACATGGAAATATAGAAAATATATCAAAGATAGTCAAAAATGTTGTAGAAAAAGTATCTTAAAATGTATGTATAACCCAATGAGGACACTTGAGAAAATCTGCACACATATTTATTGTATTTTACTTTGAACATTTTCTTTTTGAACAAAGTCAGAGAGCAGGAGTTACTTTTGTGAATTATAGCAACCTGTGCCTGCACTTTCATTCATGTGTGTACATTATATTTTACTATGTATCTATATATTTATTTCACTATGAATATTGAGTATTTTTTGCACCAAAGATCCTCCTGGATGACTGAAGTTTTTCTTCATGGAATCTCAATGGAGAAACCATTGAAATTGTCTGCAGAGTGGTGTTAGCACTGGAAATACCTGATATTCAGAATTCATATCCGGCTGATAAAACACTCAGTAAACTACCTGTCCAGGACGCTGACTTTGTGATCCGGGATGTTCACACAAAGACAGCAAGCCGTCCTCTGGCTGTGGTTACACTATCAATGACCCAGCTCTGAAGCTACACAATCATATCCTGCTCCACTTCATAAATGAACTCTGAGTGTAAACTCACCTCTGCTGCTCGCTGCCTCGACAACATCTTGAAAGCACGTCAAAGACAACAGCACCTGCAGAGCTGAAAATAAAGCGATATTTACTAGAGATGTTTGCATTTTGTTTGGCCTTTCTCTCACAGAAGCGGGTGGTAGGTAATGGCAGTGACTGTTCGTTAACCAGCGACCCGGACGTTCAACCGCTACATTTCACAATAAAAGTCTGCTCCGTAAAGTTGTGAAATGTTTTATTGCGGGCTCCTCCTCCACCAGTGATTCTTTTTCCGGGGGGAGGGGGGTTCACGTGACATCACATCCACACAACCGCGTGCTCCTATCTGCAGCTTCAACTAGTCAAGTTAGACAACGGAATGTTTGAACAAGACCGGAAACGTGGCCTAAAACAAAAGTTTAAAAGCCACAAAACAGAGGGCCCTAAAAAAGCCTGTAATTTAAAGTTTGTCTTTATAGTCTTTAATTTCTACAATATAAAATTAACATTGTAGAAATTAAAGACTATAAAGACAAACTTTAAGTTGTATGTAAAACAATATTAATCCCTGCCAGTGGCTCTCACCACCGCTGAAAGGTGCTTATAGTTTAGTCCACTGCTGCAGTATGGTGGACAAAAATAGCTTGTCTCTAAACATGGTACTGCACTAATGCTGAGGACTCAAGTTGAAGCAGTGATGGCATTAAAGAAAAGTCACGCTACAAAGCACTGAGGACAAGTAGAAAAGAAAGACAGTAATCTTTTAATGGACAAAAAAACTGAACAAATATATGTAAATGTAAACATATAGCCCAAGTTTTATGTATATTCAAATAGGTGAAAAAATGGATACTTATATTAATACTAATACTAATGGATACAAAAAAACAACATAAAATGTCTACATGTCAGTCAACTGTTTCTGTAAAATGTAGACAAGAATACAATAATGTAAACTAGATAATAAAGAGTGCTGGGATAAATTAGAGCTGAAACAAATGGGGTAGGGGGTATAGGTATTAATCAATTAGATTGACAGACAAAAATAACTACTATAACTAACTATTTTGATAATCAAGTCATCGTTTTTATCAATTAACCTATTTTATGATGTTTTGTTTAAAGAATATATAAAAATTACAGTTTTATTGTGAAAAATAGAAGCGGAAGTGTGTTTTATTGCTGCGAGTTTAAGCTGCGCTACCTCAGGCTCATTAGCAGCAAGAACATTTCAACGGACTGTCAGTGAATTCCTTACCAACGGTAACAAAAATAACGATAATAACAGCAAAAATAATTTAATCTTATGGTAAACATCTGAGTCGATTTGTTTCATCGTTAGATTTGAAGTTGACGTTGGCTTTTTGCTTAGCCTTGCTGATCTTGTTCCGTTAGCCACCGTGCTAATATTAGCTAAGTTAGCATTCTAGCTAGTTAGCAGCCTAACCAGCTACATTTATGTTAAACTTAAATGTCATTTTAAAGTCTGACTCTAGATACTATTCTTTATCATTTTTAGTTTATGTTGGTCAATGGTGTCGGTGTAGCTCGTTTATAACTGTCGGCTGATCTGTCAGCCGTCTACCAGCAGTGCTAACGTGAGGAAATGAGGATTATTGTAGCTCTGATTGCTTAATTCGTGATGTCTTCATTGCATTACAACAAATACTGGCATGTGCTCCGTTAAAATCAACTGTGGAAACCTATATTATCTGTTTGTCATTTGCTCTAATGTGAAAAACATGGTGAAAACAATGTCAAAATCCCCCCTTTTTTAATTTCCTAACAGAACACTATGAATCAAGAGAAGCTCGCCAAACTTCAGGCACAAGTCCGGATAGGTGGAAAGGTAAAGTGTACTCCCAAGAATGACTGATTTAACTTGTGCTAATAGTTTGAGGTGTGGGGCAATGGAAAAATTTGCTGCTGTGCCCCCCAGCTGCAAATTTTTGGCAGGGGACCCCTTTTGGGATAATAGGAAAACAATCAATCTGGACACTCAGTTTTGTCCTGTTGTTGCTTCAGTTGTTGGTCATTCTAAGGAGTGTAATGGTATCCAGCATCTGCCAGGTTGTTTCTCCTGACCTCAGCATTCCCTTTATAGGGTAGGGGCGGGGGGAATTGGCCCCTTCATCTGTGGCCTCTGTGGCTTTGTTCCCACTTATTGTGAGGTCTTCAGCCACACACTAGGTGGCGTTATTTGTTATTTTTCCGTCACAAAAGCCTTGTGCTTTTTGCCTGATTGCACCATGCTGTCATTCTCAAATACATTTCTCTTTATCTGTGTTTACCAGAAGTAACAAGAAGATCCCACACACTGTCGGTCACCTTATCAGTCAGGACTTTTTTATCCTAGGCATTCATCCGTGAGAAATTATGTTGTGCAAGATCTTTGTTTGTATTATTATTGAACGATGAAATCCCTGGTTTAAACATCTGGTTGAGGTTTTCTTTTCTTTCCTTCAACTTTACAATCTTGGTTCAAATCATGTAGCCATGACGATAAAGCCTTTTTTTTATTTTTTTATTTTACTTTATATACTCTAACGAAACAGTGTGGCTGGCACTTTTCAGAGGAATCAGTTCCCTTTCTTGTCAACTGTATTTACTTTACTAGTACATCAGGCGCACGTGCTTTGTACTGTTTTTCACTGCTTTAACGTAGGTGCTTTTAATTTATGGTGATTAATCATTTAAAAACTGGACAAATGAAGCATTTGTACAGAATCTATGATTAATGTGATGTCACTGTTTTAATAAAAATCTTTCTTAAGTCAAATTGCTGACATTAGAAGCATTCTGAGAAACAGAGGAAAAGCTGCTCATTCACATTACAGGCCTTAGTGATTTGTTGTGTAAACCAGGGCTCCTGTTTGTAACTGCTTCACCAAAGTCCAGAAATTAGTAAATGATGCCCAAGATGTAAGGAAAAGAAGTGTCCCACATAGATTTAAAAAAAAAAAAAAAAACGTCTGACCCAGTGGTATTAAACTGTGTTTGACATTTTGGTTCATTCAGCCCTTTAATCCTTTTTTGGCATCCACACCTGTTCTCTCCTTAGGGAACAGCCCGCAGGAAGAAAAAGGTTGTTCACAAAACGGCAACAGCTGACGACAAAAAACTCCAGGGCTCGCTGAAGAAACTGGCAGTGAACAACATCGCAGGGATAGAAGAGGTGAGGCATCTCCGACAAGATTAAAAGGAAAACTAACATCATTGCTGTATTGTTTTTTTTTTTTTTCTCTCTCTCTCTGAGAGTCCTGAATCTTTAATCATTGTCATGTCATAAGAAAGATAAAAGACAGGGAGAGCCTAACCAAAGCGCTCTCCAGTCATGTCATCATCTGGTTTATTTTTAGATTGCTTTTATCCAACAAGTTGCCACACAGAGTTTCAGATAAATCAAAACACAAAAGTCAGTAAATCTTAAATCTTGATACACAGAATTTCTTTTGTTCCTTTCATTCATGTTGTGGCTCAGTTTACCTGTTGAGTTTTCCAGGGAATTATTAAAAATGGTTAAGATACTCGTTGCAATTACGACTATGGTCTAATTTGAGACACTTTTTACCTCTTACAGGTTTTTTTGGGGGGGAGTGTGTAAATAACTTAGGTGTTAAAAAGTACTGCTGACATCATCTCTTGATGTTGCAGAACCATGTGTCAGATCTTATTGGGTCCATGTCTGACTACATGTTTTTTTTCTTTCCCCCTCTCAGGTGAATATGATAAAGGATGATGGGACGGTGATCCACTTTAACAACCCCAAAGTGCAGGCGTCTCTGTCTGCCAACACCTTCGCCATCACAGGCCACGCTGAGACCAAGCAGCTGACGGAGATGCTGCCAGGCATCCTGAGCCAGCTGGGAGCCGACAGCCTCAGCAGCCTGCGCAAGCTGGCCGAGCAGTTCCCACGGCAATGTGAGTATACATACACACTCAAGCTTAAATACTCACTATCGCAGTGTCAGGGTATCTGCCTGAATATTTTTTTATTTTTGGAAATTAAGTTTGAAAAAGTTGGGGGTCATCTTATATTCAAGGATGAGACATGTTCAGATGTTCTTTTTGAATGGAGAGAGTGCGAGTGGAACACAATCTTCTACAAAGAGTGTTGAATTGTGGGTTGTTTTTAGCCTTAACGTTGTGAGCTGAGTGTTTCTTGTAGTGAGTCGCTCAGATTTAGTCCGCCCTAAAAATGCTTTGTTAGTCCGTTTCACCTGCAGGGGTTTCTGAGGGCTGGTGTAACGTGTTCTGCTGAGATTCATGGCGAGTGAAAACAAGTTCACAGCGTCTTCAGTGTCTTCAATACAGAAATGACCCTGAGAGAAAATCTCTCAAACAATCAAAGACTTTCAGCTGAGACAGATGATGAACTCAAAAAGACAAAAAAAAAAAAGAAAAAAAAAAGCTAAATGTCAGAGAAAATAAATTTAACTACTTCCAAGAGCGTGACAGGAGAGAGTGTATGTGGATTCTACATATTTGTACAGTCAAATCTCACTTATAAGATTTGAACGATGAGGACACTCTTCAAACACTGACTAATTAAAACAGAAGGAATAATATATTCTATAAGTCTAGGCCTTTATTGTTTGTTTTCTGTGACACTTTGACTGGTATGAACATGATTAAGGTATTAAATCAGTCAACCACGTTGCCTTTCACATGTCGGTGTACTCATGCAGATTTGTGTGACAGCTTTGTACAGCAGCATTTTGTTTGTGTAGAACCACTGCAGAACCGGTGGAGGTTAAATCTGTAAACGTGAACCAGAGAAACTGGTTGTAGCGGTTGAGATGAACTGAAGAGAACAGCAAGGAGAGTGATGAAAGAGTGAAAACGGCAAAAGAAGATTATGAGCATTTGGAGTCAGACTGACTGTTCATAAAGGTGCTGGTCTCCCCTAGTCCAAGTCCAGAACACTGAGCACCTAGGCTCAGTTTGGAGTGGTTGGCCTCAGTGTTTGCATGTAAATGTAAATACACTCTGTGACACTTTTACACATGGCGACACAAATAATCATGTTATGTAAAATTGTGAAGAGTCCAAACCAAAGTCAGGTCCATTTCATATCACGTGCTGTTTTCTGATTGCAGATGTTCAAATTTTCATTTTACTGAGCATTTTAAGAACCTCACATCCATCAACCTGTAGAGCAGCAGCTTTTTGTTTTTTGCAACTGTGTCGGTTTCAATAGCCAGGCTTCATTGGAAGGTTTTAGCAGAGTAAGCAACAGATCATTGACATCTTGAGACGATGTGTGAAAGAAATGGACAGTTTGGGGTCAGGAAAATGAATCCACATTAACACAAGTCTGCAGTAACTATCAAATAATTTATTTTTGCCAATTTGCAGCTCAACTTTGAATTCACTCATTTTTCTTTACATATATTCAGCAATGGACATGAAAGCAGTGAAGGAGGAAAATGCAGAGGAGGAGGATGACGATGTACCAGGTACAGATGGAGATAATTATTGCTTTAAAGTGTTGCTCATTACGCTTTTCAGATTTATGGTAAAACAGTCCTTTGTAGATATCATCTCTACAGGTTATATAATATATATTTGTTTCCAAAATGATACTCTACATCTATTTGGAGTAGTGTTACATTTTTGTTGGCTGAGAATATAAGGACTTTTCAAATGGTTTTACTTCACCTCTTCAGCTGGAAACTGTTCAGAAAAGAAGTTTTTTTTACAATATAGAATTAAATCACAAATTTTCACAAATTGTTAGTGTCATGTTTATCAAATAATGTGGTGCCTGCTTCCAGAGCAACATCCTGATGTACTTATGTTGTTTTCTGTCTCACAGATCTCGTGGAGAACTTTGATGAAGCCTCAAAGAACGAAGCAAACTGATGAATCCCTCTCTTTCCTCCGTCAACCGTTGTATTTTTTACCTCCTTATGGACTCACAAAGGTCCATTTCCTCTTGTGAGGAAACGGTTGTTAAAGGTGCAATGCATCATCTCCGGAGACGTGAACCACTTTGGTTCAGCCTGCCACTACAGCACGACGACGACAACAACAACAACAACAGCAACAACATGCAGATACAGTAGGTTTCGATTTCAGTAGGCGGTGATGTTGTGGACACGCCGAGAAACAAGGGATCTGCACGACTCTCAGCACCCAAAGGACTCAAACTACTTTAGAAATAAGATTTCTACATGGTTAAACATGGCTAGTATTTAAGAGATTGTTTATTAAATTACAATTAAATGAATGAATAATTCATTTTACATATAGTGGTGATAATGAATTTAATAAAACATTTTTGGTCTATTGATGTTTCTCTTTATTATTTGAGTTTTCGATTTGTTTCGGTTGCTGGAAGGAAACCATAGGGGAATCCAAATGAGCTAAAAAGCAGCAGCATTGTGTTTTGCTGCTTTGATGAGCAGTTCTGAACTAGTGGTTGAGGCCTTTGCATGTGAAGTATTTATTGATGCTCATTTTATAAATAGAATAAACATTTCAGCCACTCGGTGCGCCTCTTCCTTTACACTTCCTTGAATTCATAGATATCTGAGCTGTTGCGTAACACCCTAATCCGGAGATAGATTATCAATTCAAACACGCAAAATTATGTTTTCAAATAGTCTGCTACTTGGATTTGCTCAAGTGCTAAATTAATTATAATAAAACGTCAATCAACATCTATGGGAGACCTTTTACAATAAAGTCGAAACAGAACAATATAATATCACTGCAATACAAGTTAAAGTCCTGCTGACTGAAAGTACTGAAGAAATATCAGCAAAATATGCTTCTTATTAACTGTCAGTGTCACAGTGCTATATAAAATATTTGATCAATACTATCGTAAGTAGCAGCATTTTAAAGATGTATCCAGTTGAAAGGGAGCAAATTTTAACTACTATATTACTATTCATTTTAACTTTTATACTCTTGGGTAGTTTAATTATAACCATGCTTGAATTTTAGTTTGTTAAACGTTCAAGGCAAACTAACTTTAGCTGCCATATGGATCAATTATAAAGCTCCATTCACTCTTAAATGTGACTGAGTTAAAGCATGAAGTAGCAGAAAATGGGAAAAACAGAATTGACTACTTGAGTAATTACTTTCACCACTGTGAATCAATTCAGTTTTTATTATTATTTTTTTACCTTCATTTATCAAGTAAAAATGCCATATGTAGCTGTTACAACCTCACAGAGGTGATGGACAGCTTTTATTTTACCTTTGATCAGCTTTTTGTCTCCTAGTCATGTTAATTTTTACAAAATCACTTTTGGTTCTGGGAACTTTAACGGGCATTTCAACATTACTGTAGTTTTTTATTAGGGTAATTCTAAATCGGTAATGAAGATTACTGTCAATATTGGAATCAGTTTGCAAAGCTAAAGTAATATACTGTTAAAATTAGAATTAGGTCTGTACATAAGGAGGGGTTAACTGAGTTTGGGTGGCTTTTACACATCACTACATCCCCGCCAACACTGTCACATCCCGTTTCATTGATCATCTGTGACGCTCCACTGCTGCATCGTGCACCTGATCAATGGGCCGCTGCTGTCGTTCCCTGTAGTAACAGGAGAGGTCTGACAAGGTTACCGGGGATGAATGTGCCATTTTGGCTCTAGGGTGTCGTATCGTGAGCGGGACGGAGCTGCGGACCCGCCCCGGGGCTGAACACACCACCTTCAGCAGCCCGGTTTGAGCCAAAATGTCCCTGCTGCTGTTGCTTCTGCTGCTGCTGCGGCTGGAGCACAGTGCAGGAACTGGATGGAGCCGAACCGTTTTAAGTGCATCAAGTTAGACAATAACAGCTGGATCAAAACAGGAAACTATGTTGTTACCTTGAAAATAAAAGCTCATAAACAGTTTTCATTACAGTAGTTTGTGAAGGCTTTGGTCCAGTTCTCACAATGTGCAAATCTGTTATTGCAAATAACCAATATGATAAATTCTTACCTTTAAACACAAACTGATGCAGTACAATCTCAACTATAATTTTTATGAATGTCGGATTTACTGTAGTGTGAAATCAGCTATATTTACAGTATTACAGAATATTCAAAACATACTGTGAAAGTTTTCAAAGGTAATTTGTACTCTGTGTCATTTTAAATACTGACTTTTGCATAAATTCCAGTGTTTTTTGTTGTTGCTATTTGTATAATCTGCAAAAAAAATGCATTGCTCTGTTTTGAGGGCAGTTAGCTACCGTTTGACAACATCATTTGATATCTTATTTTGTAATGCAACAATGATTGAACATATACAGTGTTGTGATGATCTAATTAACCTGTTGTGTGATGAATTATCTAATGGAATACACGTTATTTTCCAAAATGATTTTCAAACAGAAATTATTTTTATGGAATTGCCCATATGACGCACTATTAATTGTTCACTTGTATAATCTGTACATAGTTCTGTGAATGTATGTATGGATGTGCTTTTGGTTGTTAAATGCATGGGGTTTAATGTTGGGAAGGGCAAACCTGAGGACGCCTCTGATTACAGGTTGGAAGCTTGTCACATCTGTTGGTAATAAGTTGATTGGCACATTGTTGGTGAAAGGATCCAATCATGACGGACACCAAAGGACCATTGTACATTGGAGAAGGCATAGGACAAACATGCACTTCCCCCTTTGTGCTCATATTTGATAATTTAAACTAAAAAAAAAGGAAATGTCTAATTGACATGGGTGGGGAAGTCTTTGTGTGCTTTTTTACTTGTGTACACACTCCAGCTCCCATTTTTTTTTATTTTGAAATCTACAACCGGAAGTTATAGATGTAAATTGTGGCTATCTTGACGTTACTCCATATTTTTCCCAGTATTAAACCTTAGGGGAGGGATACTTGAGCGCTGTCGCACAACTACGGTAGACTATAGGCTGTACTTTCCGACTTATGCTGTTTGAGTGGGGCGGGCAGCGGTGGGTCTACACAAGGATACTCAAAAATAGCTTTCAAAGGCGATTAGGTATGACGGATACTAACGGAGGGGCTCCGCGGGACTGTACGTAAAGATGAGGATTCCTCCAGTGAGTAACTGAATTTGTTTTCATGATATTTCACAGCTCTGTTGCGGCTCTGGCGTTACAAACGGCAGGCATTGACTCAGCTTAAGTCATTGTGAATGGCTGTTGTGGTATTTTTACGGTGTGTTTCGCTAGCTAAACGGTGAGGAATACCGCGAAGGTGGTGTCACGGTAATACTATATTTTACGTCAATTACACAACACGTTAACGCTCTCCTTGGCAATACAAGCTGTAACTAAACAGCCACTAAAACGCTAGCAGAAATTACTTTCAGTGACTATGAGAAATGGATCGAGTCACCCGAGGAGGAATGCTTTTCGAAATTCCTCTTAACCGTTAAAACTGCCCGTTGGCCACAAAGCCCACCGAGTCAGTGACGGTGTGACTGTCCGTCAGAGCAGCAAGTCGCTGCCGTCACTCGGCGCACGACTGCCCGCTGAACCGTTGGGGCTAACACTAGCTACTCCATTCCCCTGATACAGCCTGCTGCTGTCCAGTGGTACTAAGTGGAGTATATTTTTTAAAATTTTCACCACATCGTTCAGTCGACTTGGTGATAAATGTTTAAAAAACTTACTCTTGGCCTTTTGCTGATCTGGTGTGGACGTTAAATTCAGCTAGCAGCCCTGCTAATACAACTATCCAAGTTCTGGTGCAAACAAAATCTCAACTGTAGAGGTTTCTGCAGCTGTTCCGATTTATTTAACCTACTGCATTTAATAACACAGTAGTTTTCACAATGTGCTTACCTAGTCTACCTGTGAATAATATTTACCATCTGAGGCTGTGTTTGGCCTGTAGGCAGCAGCCACAGTGCCACTTACGGTTGCATAATCCAAGCTAATGGTCATCTATCTGCTCTTTAGAGTTAGTTTGGTGAGGATTGTTGGTGCCAGGTCTTTTGCATATGCCTCATCATTTGGGTGTGCAGGCCTAAGTTAAGCTCTGGAGGTGGATTTAAAAAAGAAGTGGGGCCCATCCCAGTGCCAAGTTGGATAGTCATCATCAGTGAGAAATTAAAAATGAATTTGTTGCTGAAGGGATGGCCAGATCAGACAATATTAAAATGGAGCTGAAGCGATTAGTTGATTAATCGAGTAGTCGATCGCCAGAAAAATATTCAGTCATTCATCAATCATTTTAGGTCTGCTTCATGCACTAAACTCTACACATTTCCAGGTTCTCAAATGGCAGGAGTTGCTCCTGATCTTTGTCATTTATCAAAGTAAACTAAATATCAAGGTCAGACAAATTACAACATTTGATGATGTCACCTTTGGATTGCAAAGTGGGATGGTGTTTTTTTCACTCACAGCCCTATATATATTAACCCCCCCCCCCCCCCCCCCCCCCCCCCCCCCCCAAAAAAAAAAAAAAAAAAAAAAAATCTGTTTAACATTCACATTACCAGAAAAGTTTTTGCTTTGTAACACCGATTATTATCTTGTCTGGTCCTGTTTGGCATCTCTCCAGTCTGGGCTGGCTGATTATCAATGATCCATGAAAGATTTTTACCTATACCAAGAGAAGATGATATCCCATTCCATCTTCAAGTGGTACTGAAACCCCGGGGGGTTGATTGAGTAGACTGATCCCACAGGCTTCCATGCAAAGACAAGCTCTCATGTGTGCAGAAACTCCCCAGATGTAGGTTACTGTATGCTTTCAGAAAGTATTACAAGTCTCTCCCTGATGGCAGCCTGGCGGTCTGTCTCTTTTTATGTCTTCTGGTGGTTAAATGTAGATCAAAACATAAAGGAGAAAGGAAGCTCATAATAGCTTTTGACACTTGCTGTGAAGCAGAGCAGCTCTTTGTAAGAGGACAGCTACTCTCTTCTTTACCTTTCCTTCTTCAAACCTCAATGGATTTACCTCTCCAACCTCTCCTGTCAAAGAAATTATCTTTTCAGAAATTCTGAGGAAGTGTGACCTTTTGGAGGATACAAACCTGTGGCATGTTTTTCTTTTATATGTGTTTCTTTCACATCTTTTATCTCTCACAGATCTTGGGAACTGCAATAAAAAAAACTTACTGGAGGAGGGAGGAGAACTCCCGGTGCACTCCCAGTCAGGGCGTTCAACATTACATAAAGATGTGTCACTCAGTCATGCGATCATGTTGTTAAAAAGTGATGTCAGTCCATTCTTAAAGAGAGGAAGTGATCATTTGAGGTTTCCTGTGCTCACCCTGTACAGACGGCGTCTGGAGCATGGCCGTGTTATGTATGGATCTAAAACCACAGTTTTCTCAGGATGTGAGCTTGTAGCCATGGGAAGTTTGTAGCACCAGGAAAAAAGGAACAGTCCAGAAACTTGGTGCAGAGCCTTTAGTTCTTGAAGAACTATTTATAAGTTTACAGCCATGATCACTTTCACAAAGAAGTTTTCACTAAGTAACAAATCCTCAGTCATCTAGAAAATGTCAGAAAGCAGT